ACCAGGGTATATTATGTCTTCATAAACTTCCAGAATTTAAATTGTATATTTTTGTATATTTTTTTTCTCCATGAACTCTCCCTGCTGGACAGAAAATACTCCCCAGTAAATTAGTGTAGGGTGATTTCAACATGTGACTTCCACACATGTTCTGTCTCAGGAGCTCCATGTGTTTCACCAATCTGTGTGCGCCCGAACTCTGACCTTCATTCAACAACGTTTCTGATGGCCTACTGTGTCTGCTGGCCTGAAGTCACTCATCTCGTCTCGTCTCATGTTGACTCTTAAGATATTTGAACCCCTCAATTTAAAGAGTATGAGCTAAAGATCCCAAAAGCCTTAGTTAGGATGAGGAACTGAAGGTTGCACCCCCCACATCAAAAGGATTCAGCGGAAGTATCTGATTAGTGTTGCTTTTTTAAGGTTTCCCAGATGTTTTCCACAGGGAGGAGACCTTGGAGCAGACCGAAATATTGTTGACTGAGATTATATAGTCCTCTCTGGCTTGGGAACACCCAGTTTTCCTAATCAACACTCTGAGGATGGAAAATGAAAGGCAGAATGTCCTAACGTGGAACCACACCTGTTGCTGCCTTCTTTTAATCAGCTGTTCTGTATTTCAAGCATTCCTTAGCTTTTGTTCTTTATAATCTCCTTTCCCCTGCTCCTCTAAACAGGCACCAGTGGGATTAAAGTAGAAATCCCATAATTTACTACCAGTTGAACATAAACTGCTGCTGTGAAAATGTTTAATGTTTTTTGGGGACTTTTGGAATATTCCGTTTCAAGCTGAAAAATTAATAACAAAGACTTAAAGAGTTTAATCTCATAAAAACCTGCAGCCAGAGTGTCGCCATGAGATCAGACAGTAAACAAAGTATTTAATCCAACGTTATAAAGTTTAGTCTTGTGACAGATGTCAAGATTCCCAGATATAATTCAAAATAATAACCGAGGTTGTAATTCTCTTGCTATGGGTTTAAATGTGTCAGCTCCTTAAGCGTCCTGAATAAATAAAGTTTGGGGATATGAATAAATGAAATTTTAAATAACTAAAATGATTTATGCTTTTGTTTTGTTTGTAGTTTTGAAGCACTATGATAACTGCCTGGCTTCACATTCTACACGATGCTTGTTAAATCTGATTACTTTAAAATTCACAGTTTTATGTTTAAAAAAGAGGGAGGACTGAATTGTTCTTTGTACTATTCAACCTTTTTTTTTTTACAAGTTAATCCCATTGAGCCTCTGGGACTCTTTTACAGGAGAGACCTGATTTTAACAAAGTGATGACAACAGTGGACAACAAAGACAAGAACAGACAATAATAAAGGATATGTAGATTTTTTTTTAAATTTTTTTTTTTAACAAATGAAAATAAAATGGTAATTAAAACGATAAGTAAAAAGAAAATTAGCGAAAAAACAGCTAGGTTGTAAGGTGGTGTAGAAAACTAAAAGCAGGAACCTTTTTGTAACCTTTTGAAATTGTTGATTCCGCCTCTTGTTTCCAAAACAAGTAATGAACTTTTAATGTTCTGTTTATATAGGCTTCGCTCTTTAAGGCCATCGCTAGTGGGTTTATCCCTTCGTGCGCAGCGCAGCACTGAAAACTTTAGTCCACACCACCTGCTGTGTGGGCCTCACCCCCAGTCCGTATAAATTACGGTGAAACCGGGTAATCGGCTCCCATTTTTTCTTCAGCAAGCAACCAGCACTGCTTTTACAAGAACACGATGTCCAGCACCATCCGCCTGTGCCCGTCCTGCCAGACCGGCTACATTTTGAGTTTTGACCGGCATGACATCTGTGAAGGATGCCTGGGTCCCCGCCACGCCGACCTCGTCGTCTCCTGCCGTCCCTGTGACCTCCTCCCTCCTGAGGAGAAGCAGAGACGAGCAGCCTTGTTCAAGGCTAACATCGAGGAGTGCCTTTCCGTGGCGGGGGGACTGTTCGCTGGACGACGCCATTGCCTTTTTTGACGCCGAGTCACGGCGACGTCAGCAGCAGCCCCGCTGCTCATTCCCTCCTGGAGAGTGTAGTGTCATAATCCAGGAGGCGGCTGACATGAAGGGACTTTCCGTCCCTCTCCTCCCCCCGCCCAGATCGAATGATCTAGCGCCTCTCCTCCTCTGCTTCCGCCTCTTGTTTCCAAAACAAATAATGAACTTTTAATGTTTTAATACCTGACGCATCCTTACACTTCTATGCCGACGACACAGTTGTTTATTGTCGAGCTAAAACAGTTTCTAATGTTTTCCAGCTTTTACAATCCTCTTTCGACATCATCCAGTCTGATTTATTCTGTCTCAAACTCGTGCTAAACGCTGATAAAACCAACGGGATGTTGTTTTCAAACAGGAAGTCCGTCCCAGCAGTTCTTCCTTCTATTTTATCTTCGAATGGTGTTCTTATTGAGTTTGTAGAGTCTTACAAATACTTGGGTATCTTGGTTGATCCGCATCTCTCTTTTAAGCCTCATGTTGAAAACTTGGTAAAGAAACTGAAAGTTAAACTGGGTTTCTTTTTCAGAAATAGATCCTAACTCTGAACGCTAGGAAACACCTTGTAACTACGACTTTCCTTCCCTCCAATGATTACGGTGACATAATTTACATGAACGTCCTACAAGCTGCAGATGTTGGATGCTGTCTATCATGGTGTGCTAAGAATCATAACTGGCTGTAACTACCGTACCCACCACTGCACCCTGTATTCACTGGTTAACTGGTCATCGTTAACTTTACGTAGACTCTCTCACTGGTATATTTTCATCTTTAAATCACTTCTTGGTCTGTTTATTAATCTTTATTTAATCAGTCAAATCCCGTTGAGATCACAGATCTCTTTTGCAAGGGAGTCCTGGGTCTGATGGCAGCCTAACATGCATGTTTTTGTTGCCTTCATACAATTCCTCACTAGTGAGTGCAGCTAGAGCGTGCACTCTCAGGACATTATTACCTGCAGTGTTCCCTCAGTATGGACTGAACTAGACAAAAGGGCCTTCTCCTACTCTGCTCCTGTTTCCTGGAATATCTTGCAAAAACATCTGAAGCTCTCGATCTTGACTTCTCTAAGGGATTTTAAAAAACTGCTGAGTTCATGGCAAAACCAACGCAGACATGTTCCTGCATTTATTATTTTACATCATTTTGTAACGTAGCCATTTTTTTGTTTTTGTTTTTTGTGTCATTTTTATACATTTTCTTCTATTTACCGTTACTTCTCATTTTAAATGCTTTTTAATGATTTTTTATTGTTTGTACCTCATCTGTGTTCGTTATTTAAAACCGGTCTCTCTTGTAAATGAGTCCCCGAGGCTCAATGAGACTAACCTTTATAAATAAAGGCTGAATTCATTCACTCAACCTGACTGACTGACTGAATGAATAAAAAACTGTCATTGTTTCAGTTGTTGTGCATGAGAAAGAGCTTCATGCGAAGTGAACTTGTTCAACTTTCTGTATCCTTTAAATAGAGTGTGGGCGGGGGGGGGGGGGGGTCTTTTTACTGTTTCTTCTCTGGAGCTTTACATTTTTTGTGTCAGAAGTTGAACAAAATCATGTGTTGCACTGAAGCTTGAGTCTGGTTGTTTCTGAAATGATGTTCTGTCAGACAGTTATACAAAGTAGGCACTTTATCAGCCATGCCGCCAGTCATAAGGCTCAAAATGTGCAAAAAAGGGCAGATGTTTTTAATCCAAGTTAGGCTAATATTAGAACAGATCATACTTTTTAAAATCACCAACTATTTTTTCTAAAAAAAATAAAATTAAATAAAAAAAAAAAGTCTAGTAAAGATATGCTGTAGAGTTATGAGAACCATTTCTGCTGTTCTTATTTCTAAGCGGTGTGTACCTTTTCATCTGTAGGTTTAATTTTAGATACGGTTTGTTTCTTGCAGAAATGGACAGCCTTTACCTCCATCTGTCAGTGCACGGGGTGCATTGCTGCAGTTTACAAGCATGACAGCTGATTTAAGTGGCCTCTATCAGTGTGAAGCAACTAATGAGCATGGCAGCAAGACAAATTCCCTTTATGTGCATGTCACAGGTGAGGAATTGGTTCTGGAGATTTTCAAATGTGCTGTTGATGTGTTTTGAATTAACTCTGTTTTGTATGTTTTGAGCTGAGTTTCTGAGGATTTTAAGCTGGTAATGTGATTGTGTGTCTGTTTGCTAAATATCTCTTGTTTATCAAAAAGTCTTGTTTAGATTTGATAGCATCTGCCAAGTTTCGTTTGTGCATCTAAGTACAAATCCACTCAGAAGACATATATATATATGTATATATATATATCAACATGCTTTTTCCTGTTGGATCATGGGAAAATGGTTGTTTTCTATCTTTGTCTTAAAGTTTTTTTTTTTCCATTATTATTATTATTTTTTGTATGTGGAGCATGCAGATAAAGTCTGACCAGATCCAACCATTTCTTATAATTTACAGAAAATGTTTCAAGGTTCAAAGTTCTTTATTGTCATTCGCACCACATGTGGTACATGAGGTGGAACAAAATTGTGTACTCAAGGTCCCAGTTACACCCAATAATAGCAAAAATACAAAGAATACAAAGAAACAGTATACAAGGATTTAAGATATATGCTAAACACGAACAATGTAAAATAATACGTTATATTAAACAGCAGCCTGAACATGAGTTTGTACTGAGCAGATGGGTATGAATGAATACAGCTGTTGATAAATAATGTTAAATTATTATTTTTAAATATGTGTTTCTGTTAACTGATTTAATATATGAATATTTCTGTTCAGTGCCCTGAGACGACTTCTGTTGTGACGTGGTGCTGCATAAATAATCTGAATTTAATTAAATGGAAGAGCTCAGCAGCACAGATAAGTCACATATCACCAATTAAACAGGCATTACAGTGATTTTCCTGGTTAGGGATTTATGAGTTTAACAGCTTCAGGGTAAAAGCTGTTCCTCAGTCTAGTGGTTCTACACTTAATGCTCCTTAATCTCCTTCTTGAGGGGAGCAGGCAAAAAGTGTGTGTGCTGGGTGAGTGGGGTCCTTCATGATGCAGGTGGCCGTCTTCCTGCATCTAAAGGTGTAGTTGTCTGTGATGGTGGGGAGACTGACTCTAACAGACTTCTGTGCAGCCTTCACCACTCTCTGCAAAGCTTTTTTTTTCCTGCAGCTGTACAGCCTCCATGCCACACGTTGATGGTGGAGCACAAGATGCTCTCCACTGCACACCTGTAGAAGGAGGTGAGGACTGAGCTTCCCAGACCAGCTCATCTCAGCCGCCTGAGGAAGTGGAGTCTCTGATAATCTTTCTTGATCAGGCAGGTGGTGTTGTTGCCCCAGCTGAGGTTGTCATTCAGGTGCACACCCAAGTACTTTTAGCTGGAGACCAGTTCCACTGCAGATTCCCGGATCTCTTAACTGAAATGTTTTGTGTGTCAACAGACTGAGACAAACTGACATCAACTGTCATCCTTTCTCGTTTGCACTAAGTAAACACATTTTTCTGTGTCTGATCAAGCACATAATCAAATCGTATTAATGATTTAATCATGCTAAAATATTTATTGACTGGACATACACAGAACAGTCTTTTGATAAATGTGTAGATTGATTTGAGGAAGTGTGTGTCCAACTAAAAAAAAAGCAACTCAGGGCAAACTGGGAGCACACGCAAGCATCGAATGGTTGACTGAGAAACCAAAAATAGCTGTTTTGTGGAAAGAAATGAGAGGGTTTGGTTTAGTCTCCAGTGAGTTACAGTCAAGGGCGTCAGAAGCATCCGTAATGTGGGGGGGGACACAATGATGTGTGTAGGTGTGTGCACGCGTGCACGTGTGTGCGCACGTAATAAAAGGTGTTCACTAGTGAACAAAAAAGCAACATTTCACCTAGATTTCCTTTAATTCCACACATTTAAAGGATGTTTCTCACCAAGTTTGTGTAAATTCATCTGTGGGTTTAAAGACATTTTCAATTTAATACACTTTAATACAGAGCATCAGGTCGGCACTATTTGTCTTTATAGAGAAATAAAAAACATCACCACTGGACTTTTTTTACTTATGTTCAACACTGCTCATCTAGATGATGTTTCTCATGAAGGTTGAGGACAATAAGGTGTGGGATTTTAAAGACATTTCAACTTTATTGCACCTGAACATACAGCGTCTCTTACACCTGCAGCATCACACTTACTGCTAAGCTAAGATACTACAGACGTAGCGCTCCACTTCTCTCCTCCTAACATGAATATATGTTTATTATCAACCCCCTGGTCAACAACTGCCCGTGCTAAGCTGCTAAACTGGCGAGCGAGCAGCACAGGTACCTCCACCTCCTCCACCTGTGCGCGTTTTCTGCTGAGGCAAGAGGCAGGAAGGGACGGTGGAGAGTTGGAGGTAACCAGGAAAACCTGGAGTGGAGTTTTAGTAGCTTGAGTATTCTCTTATTAATCAAGTGGAATGGATTTGTTCACGAAGAAAGAGAAACTGCGCCGCCTGAACTAATGTTTTATAGTAAAAGTAGGGGGGTCCAAATGAATGTTTTTTAATGTGGGGGGGACTTGTCCCCTTCACATATAATGGTTGCGACGCCTATGGTTACAGTCCCCCCAAAACAGTCAGGCATATTATAAGAAATACTCCTTTGATGTTGTGTGGGTTTTTTTTTTAGTGTCTTAAATTTGAAGGCACTACACAGACATTTTTTACAACTCATTAGGATGCTGGATCAACCTTTATTTATTTTACAAACATTTAAATGGTGCAGAGAGTGAGAGAGTGAATGTTTGTCCGTCTCGTTTGTCTCTATGTGTCCCTGTGATAGACTGGAGACCTGCCCAGTGTGTCCCCCACCCTTCACACAGTGATGACTGGATATAAGCACCAGTGACCCCCGCAACTCAAAAAGGAAAAAGTGGGTAAAAGATAATGGATGGAATGTGGACTTCCAAGTTAAAAAAATAAATAAATAAATCACTGTAATGCAACTTTGATTATGTGCTGCTGATTATCTGTGCTGCTGATCTCATGCTGCTGATTATTTCATGCTGCTGTATTCATTCATTCATACTCATCCACCCACAAAGACTAATGTTCGTGCTGCTGTTGTTCGGTGTATTGTTTCCACCATTAGTGTTTAGTTTATATCTAAGTGTATATTAGATCCTTATTTACTGTTTCTTTTTACACTTTATATTTTTTCCTATTCTTGGATGTAACTGGGACCCTATGTACACAATTTTGTTCCATCTCATGTACAACATGTGATGGGAATGACAATAAAGAACCTTGACCTTTAAACTTTCTGAGATGATTTGTTGTAGATTCACATGCAGGTTAATCTCACTCTCCTCCCACTGGAAGCTCGTTTTGGACAATATTTTGTCAAACAACAACAAAAAAACCAGGATGTACTCTGAGTCTGTGAACAAAAGTCATTCTTACGCTGTTTGTATTTTTGTGTCTTGTTTAGCAGTTGGGGGAAACGTTTGCTGGATCTTGTTTGGGCTTCTTCTTTCCCTTACTCTCATCGTTGCTGCTTATTTGTGCTTTAAAAAGTCTGAGACATTATCAAGGTATTAACTACAATAGCTGTGCAAACGCCTCAACATAATGTGCAATATTGCTGCTATTAAAGGGGTAAAATATAATACACAAATTAAGGAATGCTTTTCTTGTTAGGTTTCCATTCTTTAGCCAACGAAGGGAGCAGCAGGTTCCAACACATTCACTAGAAGGCGATTCACCTGAAGAACAGTTACCACATACTCAAGACACATCAAACTAAACCTGTAAGTGATTTGATCAAAGTTCACGGCAATTTTGTCATCTTTAAAGTTGTTTGTGTGTGTGAAAGCCTTATGTAATTACAATCTCTTTTATTATAAAATAATAGTTTATTATATAGTTATTTTTACAAGCAGAACCACACACATCATATCTATTTGAAAAAAAAAACAATATGGTTATTTGTCATTGAAAATGTAACTTTAGTTTTGAGTCTTCGTGCCTGTGTTCTTTTATTCATGGTGTGTATTTCCCAATATTTTATCGGCCTGTGCAAATTCAGTTTGAGACTAATCCGGTGTGTAAACTGTGTTGACAGCAGTTGAAGCAACAAGACCAAGCAACAAACGGGCTGCAGGAATACAAAGCCGTCTCCATTACTCTTGACCTGTCAGTCTATGCAGTGGCTTAGTGTGCAGTTTGTGTTGTGTACACACACCTTGGTGTATTTGGCAGAGTGATCATTCAAAAATGGATGTCAAAGGTAAAGTCAGAAACCCATGTGCTCTTCACACATCTTTCATCACATTGATGCAAAAATGGTTAAGTTTTACTGTAATTCTCCTGAAGAAGCTGAGAAAGCATTGTTTTACATCACCGTGGGATTGTACGCTTAATCAGCTGATTTTCACATCTACTGACGGAGAAGGCAAATGCAAGACTTGTTGAATCTGTTTTGACCAATATTTGCTTCAACGTACATCAGCTTCGGTTGCCCAACAACAGGAGAAAATGGCACAGTTTTAATTTATTTGGTTTATGAAGAATGGCGTTTATTTTTATTCATTTGTTCGATGAAGAATTCATTGTCCTTTTACCCGTCAGCTACAACTTACACATTTTCAATTGTTCTAACAGGTTGTGTAGGTCCTGGTGAGCGTAGCAGGGCGGTTCATCCTGAATCATCTTATCATCGTTTTGGAGAGGCAGCAGCTCTACCAGTTGCGCCACCGTGCTGCCTCAATTTCCTCTATTTTAAGAAATAAGAAGAAACTTCATACACAATGGAAACAGTCACGCTAATTAAAATAGTCCAAATGCTTGGGATACTATAAAAGTATAACAAAGGCAACGTGGCAACGCAAGTGGTTAGAGCTGTCGCCTCTCAGTGAAAAGGTTGTAGGATTGTCTTCTTGCCAGGAGCTTTTCTGTGTGGAGTTTTCTCCAGGCACTCCGGTTTCCTCCCACAGACTAAAAATATGCATGTTAAACTAAGAAGTAAGTGGTAGTGTGAGTAGCTGTTTGTCTCTGTGGCCCTGTGGTAAACTGGAGAACTGTCCAGTATACACCCTGCCTCTGATTGCTGGACCAGCTGCTGCAAAAACATGTTTCTTTATTCTAAGAGAAAAACATAAAACAAGGAGATTCTAGCTATATTTAAGTAAATTTATTTGACATTGGAGAAATTTAAATTCATGTATGCATGGATCTTTCTGTTCAGAAAACCCACAGCTCAAGCGAATAACTTCCCAGAAAGAGTGGCTAGCTTTATCTTTACACAAAGACATATATGAAAATGTGCAATTATCTGATTGGTCTAAGATGGAAAGTTTCAGGTTTTAGTCCCGCCCTTTCTTCGATGGTGCTCAACATTGGGCCAAGTCTTTTGGCACTGCATGTCCTCATCAGGAGTGGGCAGCACCCGCTCTTACTCTGTCTCCACTGGATTTAACTATTATTAATACAGGTTAATCCCATTGAGCCTCAGGGACTCATTTACAAGAGAGACCTGATTTTAACAAAGAGTGATGACAACAATGGACAGTCATAAAAGAAAGCATACAAATTGAGAAGAACAAGTGAAAGAAAATGTTATTAAAAAAAAGAAACAAAACAGCTAGGTTGTAAAACGATGTAGAAAACTAAAAACGTCTGCATTGGTTTTTGCCATGAACTTCAGATGTTTGAAGCCACTTAGAGAGGTCAAGGTCGAGGGCTTCAGATATTTTTGTAAGATATTCCAGGAAACAGGAGCGGAGTAGGAGAAGGCCCTTTTGCCTATTTCAGTACGCACTGAGGGAACACTGCAGGTAATAATGTCCTGAGAGCGCACGCTGTAGCTGCACTCACGCAGAGACATGTATGAGGAGATGTATGAAGGCAGCAGACCAAGAAGTGATTTAAAGATGAAAATGTACCAGTGGGAGAGTCTGCGTGAAGTTAATGATGTCCAGTTAACCAGTGAATACAGGGTGCAGTGGTGGGTACGGTAGTTACAGCCAGTTATGAATCTTAGTGCACCGTGATAGACAGCATCCAACATCTGCAGGTGCTTGTGGGAGCGTTGATGTAAACAATGTCAACGTAGTCAATGGGTTAGATGGGGATGATAGGATGATTTCATTATATGGTTTCAGGAAGCTGCAACATTTCTCACGCTAGTAGCCTTGAAACAGCCTTCTGTTAATTACATTTATCTCGTGTTTGTAGCCCAAAAGAAAGGATGTTGCATAAAGAGTCAGAGTCAGAGATTCTTTGTCATTCGCACCTCATGTGGTACATGTGGTGGAGCGAAATTATGTACACAGGGTCCCAGTCACATCCAACATTAAAATGTATAAGAAAAACAGTAATAAGATCTAAGATATGAACTAAGAAAAACATCAACTAGAATACACTAAGCACTAATAGCATAAAAGCGTTACATTGAACAGCAGCACGAACATGAGCATGAGTCTGTGTGAGCAGATGAGCACGCATGAACACATCAACATGAAACAGATCAGCAGCAACATTAAAAACGTTATTCAAAACTTTAGCTTCTGTGCTGGGAATGTGTTTGGCTGCTCCTGACTAGAAAAAGAGCTCTGTATTTAACTGAAACAGCTGCAGTCTAACTGATGAGACAAGATGCACTAAATTTCTACTCAAGAGTTTTTATCGTTTTAATTAGAGTAAAGAATTTATTATCCTAACGCTGCCCACGAGCCAGAAAGAAAAAGAGCATAGATGGAAAATATAACGGAACATTTTGTACAGACATAAAAAAGCTAAAATAAAAATGTTAATCAGATATATAAACTTTGCCGTATAGTTTTTTTTTAAACAAAGCATGCCTGTATTAAGTTTTTGTTTATCTTCCAGAAAAATTGGGTTTTCTTTATATTGAGAGTACATGTGTTTAAAAGGGCATTTAGGTAAAATATCTAAAACTTTATTACAAATTTTCACTTTATTTGCGGCTGAAAAGTTCAAAAGGTTTGATCTTAATTCTATTTCTGTAAAGACACAGATCAGTATTGAATCTCGTAACATTTCGTGGGGTTTTGGGGGGGGTGGTATTTTTTGTCTTGTAAAAAACAAAAGGTGACTGCTTATTTCATTAGATGACTGGTTTCACGTTTTATCATTTATTCAGTTTCTTCAGGCAAACTGTCCCTTTGTGTTTGCATCATCTGGAATTACACATGATCTCAGTGAGATGACATTGAGTTGGAGTAAATATTTCTATTAGCATTATAAATTGTCACACTGTCATTCCATATTTCTGGGTTTCGAACGTATGTGGGTTTAGCAAAAACCTGACTTACTTTAGTTAATCACCTTAAAAGTATTTTTTTGTTAACAAACTGAAGGGTACTTTTTAATTTAATTTAATTTAATTTTTATTACTTTATTTTACCAGGAAGAATCAATTGAGATCATCACTCTTTAACAAGGATGTCCTGGAAAATGTGTACTTAAAGCATTAATAAAATTTAAATGTATAAAATACTACAGGTGCTGTTCAAAAAGTGAAACTTTTGTATTTATTCATTCATTACACACAGACTGATATATTTCAAATGTTTATTTATTTTAATGTTGATGATTATAACTGACAACTAATGAAAACTCCCAATTCAGTATCTCAGAAAATTAGAATATTAATTAAGACCCATAAAAAAGATTTTTTAGAAATGTTGGCCAACTGAAAAGTATGAACATGTACAGCACTCAATACTTAGCTGTGGCTCCTTTTGCCTGGATTACTGCAGCAATGGGGCATGGTATGGAGTTGATCAATCCGTGGCACTGCTCAGGTGTTATGAGAGCCCAGGTTGCTCTGATAGTGGCCTTCAGCTCTTCTGAGTTGTTGGGTCTGGTGTATCACATTCTCCTCTTCACAATACCACATAGATTTTCTATGGGGTTAAGGTCAGGCGAGTTTGCTGGCCTGAACAGGCATACAATGGTCCTTAAACCAGGTACTGGTAGCCTTGGCACCATGTGCAGGTGCCAGGTCCTGTTGGAAAATAAAATCTGCATCTCCATAAAGTTGGTCAGCAGCAGGAAGCATGAAGTGCTCTAAAACTTCCTGGTAGACGACTGCGCTGACCTTGAACCTCAGAAAACACAGTGGACCAACACCAGCAGATGACATGGCCCCAAACCATCACTGACTGTGGAAACTTGACACTGGTCCTCAAGCAAAGTGGATTCTGTGCCTCTTGTCTCTTCCTCCAGACTCTGGGGCCTTGATTTCCAAAGGAAATGCAAAATTTACTTTCATCATAGAACATAATTTTGGACCACTCAGCTGCAGTCCCAGGCGAGACGCTTCTGACGCTGTCTCTTGTTCAAGAGTGACTTGACACAAGGAATATGACAACTGAATCCCTTGTCTTGCATACATCTGTGCATGGTGGTTCTTGAAGCACTGACTCCAGCTGCAGTCCTCTCTTCGTGAATCTCCCACACATTTAGGAATGGGTTTTGTTTCACAATCCTCTCCAGGGTACGGTTATCTCTATTGCTTGTACACATTTTTCTACCACATTGTTTCCTTCCCTTCGCCTCTCTATTAATGTGCTTGGACACAGAGCTCTGTGAACAGCCAGCCTCTTTAGCAATGACCTTTTGTGTCTTGCCTCCTTGTGCAAGGTGTCAATGGTTGTCTTTTGGACAATTGTCAAGTCTTCCCCATGATTGTGTAGCCTACAGAACTAGACTGAGAGACCATTTAAATGCCTTTGCAAGTGTTTTGAGTTAATTAGCTCATTAGAGTGTGGCACCAGGTGTCTTCAATACTGAACCTTTTCACAATATTCTAATTTTCTGAAATACTGAATTTGGGATTTTCATTAGTTGTCAGTTATAATCATCAACATTAAAAGAAATAAACATTTGAAATATTTCAGTCTGTGTGTAATGAATTAATATAATATACAAATTTCACTTTTTGAATGGAATTACTAAAATAAATAAACTTTTTCATGATATTCTAATTTTATGACCAGCACCCGTATGTTTACTGTGAAGACAAGAAGACCATAGTGTGTTGTGTATATTGAAGTTTTGTTTTTACGGTTTTCTTTTATAATGTAAAGTTTGTATCACCTGAAGCCTCACACTCCTCTCCTATCATTGTGCACTGATGGTATTAAAATGAAGACTGAACTCTGAAACACAGTACTTTCTGACAGAATTAAGCACTGTTACTAAAACAATCCACCTTGTACAAATCTTGACAGCGCTGCTCTCCAACTCGTTCTTGTTGTTTTTTTCTCTGACTTGAGGCTCAGTCCTCCTCCTCGTCCTGGTTCACATCAAAGTGGGACATCAAGGCCGCTATTCATTCCTCACTCATCACTGGAAGTTGTTTCAGCTTTTCTCAGCCTTACATAGGGGATCTTCAAAAACTGAGCTTCTTGTGCGAGTCCTGCAGGTTCACCATCGCTTCACTTGAGTTTTGAACTCGTTTAAACACTTGAAGCTCTCAAAATACTAGAAATTAATTTTAAAACCTGTCTTCTGCCAGAAAACAGGTCCAGATCTAAAAGCCACACTCACAATAAAACAATAAAGTAAAATAAAATTCAGTAACTGGTCTAATTGTGCTTATACTGTATTTGTTTCTAAAATGTACTTCAGTAAATAAAAGTATAAATGTTGGAGCAGCTGCCAATGTGGGTACAAAGTGTGTTGAGATGGGAAAAGAGAAAAGTATGCACAAACTAGAAAAAGGTTTTGCGAGCAGTTCACATACAAATAATCTGATTTTCAATCTAAATGCAGCTGCACAGCTCACTGGTTGTAAACACTCAACTGCAAAAAGTTTTCTCACAATTTAGTCCCCAAGCAGCCTCAATCCAATGAGATACCATCAACAGAACTGCACAAGTCACTCTATAATTTTTCTTTAAATAAAGTGTGTAGCTGCCAAGTCTCAAATGCCTTGTTTAGACTTTATAGTTTTTGGAGCAAATGTCTACATTCTTCAATGTTTATGATTAAAATGCTTTTGTCTTTCTATTACTAAACATCAAAAAATATTGCTGTGCAACAAACTAGCAGTAGAGAAAAGATTTAAAGGCCACTGAAGTTAGTCGGTTAATTTGTTACAGAAGTAAAAAAAAAAAAAAGCACAAAAATCAATGAGAACTATTGAATGCATCCATTTATTAATTTTCTTTACTAGTTTTTATTTTAATTTATTTCATTCAAGGTCATGGGGCAGCTGCTGTTTATCACTATCAGTTATTGTACGAGAAGAAGGTTACACTACAGTAAAAAAATAAAAAATCCAAGTGTGCATTTTGATTTTCACACAAAGTCTGTGAGGCAAATCTAAGCTTCTCTTATCTAGAGACTGTAATAATTAACAGACATGAAGGGAAGTCCAGTTTATAGAATGAGTCCGTTAAGATAAGAAATCAATCAGAAGAAAATTAATTTGACAAAGTCTAATAAAAAAAATGTTTGAGCTAAAACATTCTTCCCCCTAATGATTGTAAAGATCTTTGTTTGTTTGAAATTA